TCCCTCCCCCAGTGCCTCATTGGCTGAGTTCTATGGGGTATACAGTCTCCCTGGAAGTCACCTAAGTTACAAAGTTATCTTTCTTCTTTCCTCCTCCTGTGAGTTAGCAACTCCATAACATACTTTTAGCCTAGTGAATTTTGCTCCATCTGCAAGTCAGCTAATCGTAAATGGACCCCCAGACACTTTCTTAAAATGCACACCAGCAAAACAGCCAGGACATGAACCATCCAGCTCACCTGCAAAGCCAGCTTGGCGACTTAACCAATTGTGCTGCAATGCTGGTTCCGATTTTTTAAAAAGATTTATTTATTTATTTGAAGGAGAGAGAGAGAGAGAGAGAGAGAGAGAGAGAGAGAGAGATCCTCCGTCCATCAATTCACTCCCCAAATGGCCACAACAGCTGGAGCTGAGTTGATCCGAAGCCTGGAGCCAGGAGCTTCCTCCAGGTCTCTGATCCAGATGCAGGGGCCCAATCACCTGCCCCATCTCCCACTGCTGTCCCAGGCCATAGCAGAGAGCAGGATCAGAAGAGGAGCAGCCGGGACTCGAACCAGAGCCCGTATGGGATGCCCGTGTTGCAGGTGGCGGCCCTGCCCACTGCCGGCCCCTGATTTTTAAATATTGACAGAGCAGTTGCTACATGTTGAGCCTGAAGGATGGAGGGATGACTAAGACACAGTGTCTGCTCTTCAGGTACCCAGCATCCAGTACAGACAGACCCTGTGTGTGAGTGTGCTGGAGGGAGGGTCCAGGTACCTCAGGAGAGCTGAGTGACTGGCTTATGGGAGCAGTTAGGGAAGGCTTCACAGGACGGGTTTCGAAGGATGAAGAGGAGTTCACTTTCTCTGGAAGAAGCAGACAGGGAATTCCAGGCAACATGAACTGCGGTGAGTGTGAGCATTTGGCCTGTTGGTTAAGATGCCCGTATCCCATACGGGTTCGAGTCCTGCCTGATGCACACCCTGGGAGGCAGCAGGTGTTGTGCATCCCTGCCATTCACAGGGGAGACCTAGATTGAGTTCCCAGCTTCTGGCTTTGGCCCAGCTCTGGCTGTCGCAAGAACGTGGGGAGCAAACCAGCGATGAGAGCTCTCCCCCACCACACCCCACTCTTTCTTTTTCTTTCTTTCTTTCTTTCTTTCTTTCTTTCTTTCTTTCTTTCTTTCTTTCTTTCTTTCAGGCAGAGTGGACAGTGAGAGAGAGACAGACAGAAAGGTCTTCCTTTGCCGTTGGTTCACCCTCCAATAGCCACCGCAGCCGGCGCACCGCGCTGATCCGAAGCCAGGAGCCAGGTGCTTCTCCTGGTCTCCCATGGGGTGCAGGGCCCAAGCACTTGGGCCATCCTCCACTGCACTCCCTGGCCACAGCAGAGAGCTGGCCTGGAAGAGGGGCAACCGGGACAGAATCCGGCGCCCCAACCGGGACTAGAACACGGTGTGCCGGTGCTGCTAGGCGGAGGATTAGCCTAGTGAGCCGCGGCGCCGGCCCACCCCATCTTTCTACTTTGTGTGTAAATAAAATAAACAATCAAAAAGCTCAGGCTCCACTCCCAATTCCAGCTTCCCGGGAATGTGCACCGGGAGGCAGCAGGTGATGGCCCGAGCAGTTGGGTTCCTGCCACTCACATGGGAGTGTTTGCCCCCTCCCAGGCTAGAAAGCAAGCTCTGAGTCCTAGGACACCCACCCCCACCCCGAGGAAGCTCTCCACCGGGAGGGGCAGTACTGGCACAATTGCAGGAGCTGGTGACCCTGCACGGGCCCAGGCTCTGGCTCAGACACGCTGGGGTCCAGAGTGGGCAAGACAGGTTGGAACCAAGAGGGGTCCCAAAGCCAGATAGTGGCCATCACAATGTAGCCACAGGCAGGCTGTGCCAAGCCCTGTCCCAGCTCTGTGGTCTGCCCAGCACCCACTGTTGACCCATGCAACCACCTCCCAACGCTCTCTGGGGCTGCCCTACAAGGTAAAGCACTCCTCGGGAGAGGAGGGGCTTGGGAGGAGGAGCCACATTCCTGAGCTTAGCTCTCCTGGACACAGGACACAGGGTCTGCCCCGCGCCTGACAGGGCCCAGCGGCTGGGGCTTGTACTGTCTGCGTGTGTAGCCTGAGCTCCATGTGAGTCTCCCATGTGGGCACCTGGGCCATCTTCTGCTGCCTTCCCAGGTGCATTAGAAGTAAACTGGGGACCGGCGCCATGGCTCAATAGGCTAATCCTCCGCCTTGCGGCACCAACACACCGGGTTCTAGTCCTGGTCGGGGCACCAGATTCTGTCCCGGTTGCCCCTCTTCCAGCCCAGCACTCTGCTGTGGCCAGGGAGTGCAGTGGAGGATGGCCCAAGTGCTTGGGCCCTGCACCTGTATGGGAGACCAGGAGGAAGAACCTGGCTCCTAGCTTCAGATCGGCGCAGTGCGCCAGCCATAGCGGCCGTTTGGGGGGTGAACCAATGGCAAAGGAAGACCTTTCTCTCTGTCTCTCTCTCTCACTGTCTAACTTTGCCTGTCAAAAAAAAAAAAAAAAAAAAAAAAGTAAACTAGATCAAAAGTGGAGCAGACAGGACTCAAACTGGCACCCATGTGGGAGGCCGGAGTCACAGGTGGCAGCCTTACCCACTACACCCTACATCATGATCTTTTATTTAAGTGATTATTTATTTTAGGTCTTGGTCTTTATAAAGCTCCTCCGGGAGTGTGCCCAGAACCTCTGAGGACACAGAAGGGTACACAGGGTCTCCTTCCTCCTCTGCTGGCCTGGACGGCTGGGAGGCAGGGGAAAGGTGGGCTGGGTTTATGCCCACAGGTCAGAGAATTTAGGGCTGGAGAAAGATCTCATGTACAAAAACCGGGAAGGACACGAGGCTGGTGAGGAGAAACCCCAACAGAGAGCTTGCGGAGGGGCTTTGAGCTGCGGTATAAGGAAAAAAATTAAAGATTTATTTATTTGAGGGGCCAGTGCTGTCACATAGTGGGTAAAACCGCCGCCTGCAGGGCCAGCATCCCATATGGGCACTGGTTTGAGTCCCGACTGCTTCTCTTCCCATCCAGCTCTCTGCTGTGGCCTGGGACAGTAGTGGAAGATGGCCCAAGTGCTTGGGCCCCTGCACCCACATGGGAGACCTGGAGGAAGCTCCTGGCTCCTGGCTTCAGATCGGCCCAGCTCTAGCTGTTGTGGCCATTTGGGGAGTGAACCAGTGGATGTAAGATCTCTCTCTCTCTGCCCCTGCCTCTCTGTAACTCTGCCTTTCAAATAAAACAAATAAAATCTTAGAAAAATAAATAAATAAATAAGATAAGCAGGACCTCAAGCCCAGGCTGCCTACGTTCAAATCCTGGCTCCTGCTTCCAGCTGTGCGACCCACACCAAGTCACACAACATCTGTGAGTCCCTTACTGCCTCCACTGTGAAACAGGGCTAAGGAAAGCAGCTCCCCCGGGACCGGGTGAGGATTCGATGCCTTGCCATCACGTTAGACCACCTGACGAATGGGCCGCGTGCTTGCAATGATTAAGCCTTACGGAGGACACAGGGCAGGACGGCGCCTCGGGGAAGGTGACGGGCGGGGGCTGTGCAGAGACGAGGGCGGAAGCAGCCTTGGCAGGAGCAGAAAGACACTTTCCAGGCAGAGGGAGAGGCGTGTGAAAGCTCCCGAGGCGGAAAATGGCTTGGCAGGTGTCGGCAGGGCCAGAAGGTCTGGGAGGCGGGAGCTCAGGGAAGAGGGGACGGCGGCACGAGAGGCCAGCAGGGCCCCCGGGGCCCCGGGAAGCAGCTCGGGCTCCAATTCAAACGCACTGTGCAGGTCCACAAGGTGGTTCTGGTTTTGTAGATGGTACAGAAGCGTCCATACGGAGCGGACACATCCTAGGTGCGTGCACCCGGCACTGTGACCCCAGAGTGTGAGCAGCACCCCAGAATCCCCCTCGGGCCCCCCGCGGGGCCCACCACCCCGACTGCTGCCAGCAGCAGTTTGCCCGTCTGCCAGTGTGTGTGTGTCCTCGTGCCGGACGCCTCCGGCTCCACGCCACGGCTCCGTCAGCAGCCGTGGTTCTGTTTCTGCTCTCGGCGCGCGGCATTCGTGCCGTGACGATACCACAGCTAAGTCACCCATCCCACTGGCCAGGGGCATTGGGGGCGCCCAGACTGCAGCTGCGGCCGACATTCTGGCCCTGTCTTAGGGCGCACATGTCTACGCCATTGAAGGCTTTTGAACGTGAAACTGACAGGCTCTCTTCCCAACCTCCCTCCAGCCCTGCCACCTGCTCCTGACGGCTACACCGGAACAAACGGGCAGAAGCCCGGCTCACTCTGACCTCGCGTGAACCGCAGGTGCGGCTAACTCCCTACTGCCTCAGCACAGTCCTGGCGTCCTCAAGCGGAAGGTGGGCTCAACCACACCACAGCTGCAGGTGGCCCCGGGGGCTAAACTAAACAGGAAGTGGCCTTGAACGCCCAAGGTCAGGTGCGCACCGCCTGCCTCCACGGGGCCTGATGAACGCCTCCCTCCTTTCTCTGCCAGGCGTGGGGGAAAGAAATGACACCAGGGCACACCCTGCTGTGGTGCGGGTGAAGTTCCAACACCAAGGCCAGCACAGATCCAGTCTCCACCAAGAGGGCACTGCCCACCTGCTGCCCCCAGCTGAAGGCCGGGCAGCCGCTGCCCCCTCCCCGCTCCCCTCCTCCCCTCCCTGAGGGCCTCCCCGGGTGCCCACCCAGCCTGCTCTCCCGCCCTGGTGACTGTGCCCACAACCCAGGGCACCTTCCTCCGCCGCACACCCCAGCCCCTCGCGATGCAAGCCGTGCTCTCCTTGCCAGACTGCGCGGGCAGGGAAGGCCCTGTCCCCCGTTCCGGAAGATGGAAGTCCTCCCACACCTGGCGCTGTGCCCAGGGCTCGCGGGGGCGTTCTGAATGATTCATTCATGACTTTGGGAGAGCCGGCACGACCCCTGAGCGGTTAAGAGAAGGCGCTGTGACGTCACACAGACTTGGGTTCAAGTTCTGGCTCTGTGACCTTGGTCGTCTCTCTGAGCCTGCTTCCTCACGGAAAAAAAAAAAAAAAATGGAATGAGCAAGACCCGATTGGGTCACTGTGAGGAAATCGCGAGACCAGGCTGGAAGGGCCCGGCCTCCGGGAGCAGCTCGCTCCGGGCGGGGGAGGAGGAGGGGGCGCGAACTTCCCGCTGCGGCCCCCCCCCCTCGCCCCCCGGAACTGGGGCGGTGCGCAGCACCCGGTCCGTTTTACAGATACAGAAACTGAGGCCTGGGCGCGGCAGGCTACGGCCCGAGCCCAGATCCTGACTCTGCGTCCAGTGCCCGACCCGCCCCGGGGCGCGGGCTCGAGGGGCCGGGACCTCGGGGCGCGCTCCGGGCGCTCCGGCTCGGCCCCCCGCCGCGCGCGCCGCTCCCGGGAGCGCAGAGCTCGCGGTTGTCACTTTAAATTAAAAGGAGGGAGCGGGCGGGCGGCGAGCGCGAGGGAGCGCGCGGCGGGCTCCTGGGAGCGAGCCCGGACTGCGGCGCAGAGCCCGTCCGCCGCCCCGGCCCGGCCGAGCCCCCGGCCCGCGCCGCGCCGCGCCGAGGCTGGTGCTCCGCGACACTGCGGGGGAGCGCTGCGGCCGGCGGCCGGGAGCGCCGAGCCGGAACCGGAGCGGCGGCCCCTACACGGAGCCGGGGTGAGTACGCACCGGCCGACCCCCGCGCACGGCCGGGCTACGCGCCCTCCGCGCGGACGCACGCAGCCCCGGCCCCGCGCCCCGGTCCCCGGCCGCACTCGCCCCGCGCGCCTGCACCCCGCGCCCCGCTTGCACGCGAACGCCGGCCACCGCGCACGCCGGGCGCCCGTACCCGGCCCGGCCACTCCGCGCACTGCGCATCGCCTTGCGCCCCGCACGCCCGCCGCCCCGCGTGTGCACACACGCGGCTCACCCCGCCATTTACACGCCTCCGGCGCGCCCGCGCTGCCCGGCACCCTGGCATTCGCTCTCAGCGCCGGGGCCGACCTCACTGCCCCTTCCTGACACCGGCGCCCACACTCTGGGGAGCCAGCCCCCTGGGGGCTTCTGAGGCGGGAGCGCAGGGCCTGAGGGAACCGTGCACGTCTTGAGGCGCACGTCGCACCCGTGCCTAGGAGACCCCGCTGCCAGAAGAGCCAGAGGGGACGCTCAGCCTCCTTGGGGCTGTGTATTTGTCCGAAGAGGGGGTGGGGTTGGGGCCAGACATGGGGACCCAAAGTCCCGAGCCAGCCGTCCTCCGGGGCCCCTTTCCTGGGACACGGGGATTGTGGGGCCCCCTCTCATTCTCCGAAGCCACCCTTGTCCCCAAGAGCCTGGAGTCCTGGAGCCTGGGCGCCCTTCGGGGCAGCCTGGTGCTTCCTGATAGAAATGAGGAGACCCACCCAGTTAGCAGAGCCAGTCCCAAGACGGGTCGGGGCAAGCACTCCACGGCTGCCTGCCTCTCTGAACCTGACACGGTCCCCACGCGGTGGCCTGGCAGAGGTGGGGGGGACGCCCCCAGCCTGGCCTCTGCTCCCAGTGACCCCTGCACCTGTGTTCTCAGCAGTACACAGGGCAGGGGAGCTGACCCCCAGAGGGCTGCAGCGAAGATTAGCAAAAGCCACACCTGGCAGTGCCTGGCACAAGTGCCCAGCGCATAGTAGGTGACCGGTAAAGGCCACCGCTCGCCAGCCAGAATGTGCCGTGGCTTCTGCGGGCTGCTTGGGGGAGGCAGTGGGAAGTGGCTATCTCAGCGTGGGTGGGGGGAGAGGAAGGCGCCTGAAAAGACATTTCAAACTTCAGGTCCTGAGGATGCCCCCAGCCTGCAAGGTCACGGTTCCTGGTGCTGACCCCACTACCTGCTGGCCAGGGGAGGGGGGTGGGAGGAGGGGCACCGACCAAGGAGAACCAGAAGATTCCTGGAAAGTCATTTCTCTGAGCCCAGAAGGGCACCCCCCCCCCAACACAGTCAGACTCCAGCAGAAGCCAGGGGTAGGGGTGGCTCTTCATGCCTCCTCCCCCACACCGCCCCCACCAGGCCTGGCTGGGAGTCAGCATGGTGGCCAAGAGCCCAGACCTGGATCCATCCCACCCTCGGGTGTCTCACACGCTAAGGGCCCCCGGGGTCCTGGTTTCTTTGTGAAATGAATCCGCTGTTTCCATGCAATCAGCAAGTCCACAGTGTGCCTACTGCCTGCCGGGCCCCGTGCTAGGCACTCAGATGAGCCCAGATTTGCACCTACAACTGTTTGCAATGCACAGGTGCCGTGCAGTGGGGGTGTGGGGGGGGGTGGATGGATGGGGGGAGGCTGCTGACCGAGGGGGCGGTGCGGGCTCAGGAGCTCAGAGGGCCAGCGCTGGCCCAATCCTGCCGTGCTTTCCTGTGTGCCAGGCCCCCGGGGAAGCCCTGGTCACTGCCCGCCCTGGCCTCCGCCAGGCCTTGTCAGCATCCTACCCCGGCCAGATCCCCAGGCTGGCAGACCGCCAGGCTGCCTGCGGGAGCCTACTGCAGACGGCTCCGGGGAGATGGAGTCTAGGGGTCTCCGGGACAGTGAGTAAAGCCATTAAGACGGGCAGTTGCTGCCCAGTCAGATCTGGCCCCGGCTCAGCTCCCGCTCACCAGCTGAGTCTGAGTGACCTTGAGCCCAGACATCGTCCTTCTCGGAGCCTCCTTCCTCCCCGTCGGATGGGGGTGATAACGGGGTTGGCCCCTGGTGGTCTCAGGATGGTGGGGAAAATGCATGTACAGTCCTTGCTAAAGGAAGAGGCAGCGCGTGGCTGCTGGCTTGGTGGCTTCAGGCAAGTCACCTCAACCTCTCTGAACCTCTCCTGGCTCATCCGAAGTCCGGCTTAACCAGGTTGACCGTGGGAGGTGCTGCCAGGGGCCACAAGCCGCCCGGCACCTGCTGCATTGGGGGTGGGGGGATGTAGACCTGCTGTCCCATGAAGACCCCTCCCCCACCTTTATAAATTTTTTTCAAATGCATCTTTAATGGGAAATTTCTCAATTTTAAAATGTTGGCAGCTCACTTGAGACAAATATAACACATCTGCAGGCTGGTGGTGCTGCCCCCGCAACGCCCTGCTGAGTGAGCTACGGCTTAGGGGAACCTGCCGAGACTGTTGCCAGGCCAAAGCGGTTAATACCTTCCAGCCTGACCCTACTTCTCTTTTCATTCCGCCCTCCTGGCACCGTGCAGGGCAGTCACCATCCCCATTTCACAGATGAGATAACTGAGGCTCAGAGGGACCCAAAGCCACTTGGACGAGCAAGGGAGTGGCTCTAGGATTCAGAGCTGGGTCAGCTGCCTACAAAGCCTGCACTCAGGCTGAACCCCCCCACAAAGCGGCCCCCTCACTAGACTCCGCCCCCCCACTGGGTGCCTCAGCCTCTCCCTGTCCTGTCCTCCCTCTTCTCAGGCCCTTCCCAGGGGACCACAGCTGGCACCTGTGTCTGGGGGGTGCGCCCGAAACCACAGCAGCCAGTGAAGGGCTGTGCAGGAGTCTGGGGTCTGAGCTGGACCTGCCTAGGAAGGACAGGGTCCCCTCCCCTGATAGCCAGAGTGGGCTGCAGCCCGGGGTGGACACATGTACTGCCCCGTGGGGTGACCTTGCCACCGTGTCCCAGCGTGGCGTCCCTCCTGCCAAGTCACTTCTGCCAAGTTCACAGGGAAGAGAAGCCACTGGCATTGTCCGGTGACTCTGGCTGGGCACGCGTGTCACACGTGTCTGTGCGGACAGCCTCCTGCCAGGAGCCCGGCTGCCCGAGGATTGGACACGGCGATGTCCAGCTTCCTAGGAAGCTTGTTTGAAACAGGCGCCCACCTGTGGTGAGGCCCTGGTGGTCAGGTGTGCAGGCTGACTGGCCTGGGCAAGGATTCAACCTCCCTGCCTGCCTGGGCACTGGGGACTGATCCGCATACCAGAGGCCATGAGTGCACCTGCTTCATGGGGCCTGGAGCTCAGCGAGGGCTCAAGGGGCCATGGGTGTGCAGCCTGCTGTACCAGCATTATCTGGAGCCCAGGAAGGGAGCTTCCACTCAGGTCAGGGTGGGCAAATGCCTCCCCATCACCATGACAACCCTTGTCCTATCGTGGGAGCGGGGGCCCAGCGCCTCTGGGTGCCCTCATCCACCTTCCTTCTCCAGGCCGCCTGTCCTAGGGCTTATGGCGCTGATGGGACCAGGGTACCCCAAAGGCTTGACTCCAGTGCTGCAGATTGGGGAGAACCCCAGGATTCCTGAAAATGCCAAGAGTCTCGGCTTTACCCTGGGGCTTGGCCCCCAGCCCAGACAGGGGGCCCGCAGTAGGCACCCAGGGGCTTGGAACGGGGGCAGCCTTGAAGGGTGCCTACCTTTCCTGTGAATTAGTTGTGACATTTGGAAATCAGGAAATGCACATAAAGAATCCAGACGCGCGGCCGTTCTTTAAAGAGCCAGAAAGGCCAGCGGCGAAGTCGGCGTTGCCCGTGGAGCAGAGAAGCGGCCGTCCTGGGGCCCCCGAGCTCCCTGCAGGTCTCGCCCTCGCCCCCTTGCTGCTGGCTTCCCGTCCCTTCCACGCCGGGCCCGCAGGCTTTGGGGTGTGTGCGCACCGTCCTGAAGCGCAGGGGAACCGAGCGGTGGGCCGTGGGGGTCCTCCAGCCCCTGTGCCTCGAGCTGAGAGCGAACAGCTCATCCCAGCCCCCCTCTGCCAGGACTCCCCACCACCGCTGAGAAGACATCCATGAGCAGGTTCGCTTCTCTGCAAGCAGAAGGCAACGGGCAGGCGCCAGGGTGCAGGTGACGGCTTGCATGGGCACCAAGACCTTTCTAGAACAACTGAGTCAGAACTTGGCAGCTCACAAAACCTGCGGGGGGAGGGTGGGGTGAGGAAGAAGCTCCCCCCCGAGCAGAAGCGCAGCCCCTTTTCCCGAGTGACAGGGAGGCACTGGGCCGGTGCCGTGGCACAGAGGGTTAGGGGGCCGCCTGCCACGCAGCACCATGTGAACGCTGGTTCCAGTCCCGGCTGCTCCGCTTCCGATCCAGCTCCCTGCTAATGCGCCTGGGAAAGCAGCGGGGGACGCCCAAGCATCTGGGCCCCTGCACCCACGTGGGAGACCCAGAGCCTGGAGTTCTCAGCCCCCCTGGCTTCCGCTTGGCCATTTTGCCCATTTGGGGAGTGAACCAGTGGATGGAGGATCTCTCTCTGTACATATAGCTACATTTAAAAGGGAAAAAAAAAAAAGATGCATTGGAAATCAGCTAAGGGGCCAACTCCAGTGAGTGACCGGGGGCCGGTGCTCGTGGCAGCTGGCATGATGCGATGAAAAGCTGAGTTTAATTATGGTGCAGGCAATTCTGCAATCCACGCACGGTTTGTTTATAACACATTTTGTCACCGGGTTTAGCAGATCAAGTACAGGGCGCCCTATAACAATGGAATTGCGGATAAACAGTTAATATTTATTCCAGCATAAATGTGTCCCAGGGAGTATGAGGGACATGCAACGGGACTTCAAATATTCCCTGGAAAATGGAGCTGAAAGATTTTTCCTGTGCAAAAAAACAAAACAAAACAAAACAAAAAAAATCCGTACATACGACAGATCTCCAAAATGTTCATGAAGAATGTGTATTATGAACAAACCACACATGGATTGCAAAATTGCACCATTAAACTCAGATCTTCATCGTATTTTTCTATAAATTGAAATACCCTCGTGCCTGCATGGGCTTCCTGTACTTTGTCTAGCACCTCTGATATGAGGTCTTTAGGTGGCATTTTAAAAACTGCTGGGGTCGGCACCATGGCTCAATGAGCTAATCCTCCACCTGCACCCCGGGTTCTAGTCCCGGTTGCTCCTCTTCCAGGCCAGCTCTCTGCTGTGGCCCGGGAAGGCAGTGGAGGATGGCCCAAGTGCTTAGACCCTGCACCCACATGGGAGACCAGGAGAAGCACCTGGCTCCTGGCTTCAGATCAGCGCGGTGCACCGCGGCGGCCATTGTGGGGTGAACCAACGGAAAAGGAAGACCTTTCTCTCTGTCTCTCTCTCTCTCACTCTCCACTCTGCCTGTCAAAAAAAAAAAAAAAAAAAAAACTGCTGGAAGCTCCGGGTGCCCACACGTGGTCAGTCAGGTTGGGGCCGTGACCCTCTGTGGCCCTCTCGCTAACTCTTTCCCTTGCAGTCACAGGCGCTGGGGCAGGCACCATGGCCGTGGATGTGACTGAGTACCACCTGAGCGGTGAGTGCCCAAGGGAAGCCCCTGTGGGTCACAGCTGGGACCCTCGCCCCAGGCCTGGGCGGCGGGCGGCTGGGGCTGAACCACAGCCCTGTTTTACCCACCAGGCCAATCGGTGGCCACCCGAGGTCTCAGCCTTTTCCTCTCCAGTGGCTCCTGGGACCCCACCCCTGCCCCGTGAGACCCTTGTGCCTCTGCTCCCTGACAATGAATCTGTGACAGACGACTCCACCCCGCGGGGGGGCCCTTCCTGGAGCCCGTCAAGTGGTCAGATGCCAGGAAGGTCCATGTCGGATTTGTGGAACGTCAGAGTCCCAGCTGAATGGGAAGTGGTGCCCCTGTGGGATGCAGCAGCCAGCTTCCTTCCCGCTGCCCCTGCAGGCTCAGCCGATCAATCCTGGTGCTGAGCTAGGGAGCTGGAGGCTGTGGATTTTCCCAGCAGTGGGCAGCATCAGGGCAGGAAAGCTCACCGTCTTTCCCCCCCGTTCCCCACCCACTCACAGGTGAACCAGGATCCCTGGTCTCCCGACTCGCAGGCCAGCACCCCAGCCTAGCCCCAGGTCTTTGCAGGGCCTTTGCTGGGCCTCCTTGCAGCTCTGCCTGGCCCAGCAGCCCCACGACGCGGGTGGAGAGTGCAAGGCAGCAGAGGCCGGGTGCCGGGCTGTGTGGCTGCAAACCTCTCTCCGCCACCCCCTCCCCAGCTTCCTCATTTGTAAAGTGGGGCAGCACTGGAACTTTTCCCAGGGTTCCGAGGACCCGATGGGTTCAGATGTGAGGGCGCCTCCAGGAGTTCGTGGGGAAAGGGAACGAAATGCTAAATTGTGGTTCAGAACACTTTTTGAGATACTCGTTTTCCATGAGCTTTTTGCAGACTTCTCCTGTATGAATTGTATCCCCCCTCCTCCTCCTCCTCTTCCTCCTCCTCCTCCTCGTCCCATTTCTGGGCTGATCCGGACCTTGCTAGGCTTGGGAATTCTCCGTTTCACCCCAAGGCAGTTACTCTGTAAAATCAGTTGGCCAGAACCTGCCACTGGGGATGTGGGCTCCAGTTCCTCCGTTCTGTTCTGCCCCTCCCCGTCTGCTCAGATCCGGGCTCTGTCCCTGCCCTCTGGCACCCCCACCCCGACCCCCAGCACTGGCCTGGGGCCGCACATCATTCCACAGTTCACCAGGCTCTTGCCCATCCCATCCCCTGTTCGTCAGAACATTCCAGAACATTCTGGAGCCATGTCGAGGCTGGGCCTGGGACCCCGTGCAGAGGTCTTGGTGATGGTTTCATTTAGCCTGGGACTTACATTCGAGCAACAGGAGAACTCAGGGGTGTGGGGGCTGTGTCCACCCCGCCCTCACCCTCCTGCTGGGCCCTTCCTGGCTGGTCCTGCCTGGCTGATGTTTGCATCATAATCCTGTGATTATTTTTTGCCTCTTAACAATACCGAGATGTTTTCTCATGCTGCCACAGTGTCACTTTCGTGACCCCAATTTCCATTCTCCAAGGCCGGTGACATTCCCTCCTAAGACAGCTCTGCCAGCGCCCGCCGGCCCCCGCGGTGGAAGCCTCCGGCTGACTCCAGATTTCGCTGTTATAAATACAGCCTCGGTGACTCACGCCACACACATCCCACGGGCTGGGATTTTCCCTGCAGAATAAACGCGCCCAGTGGGACCCCGGACGGGGATGCATTTGTCCCTGCTGCTGTTTTCCCGAGGGGGAGCCAGCCCAGAAGACCGGACCCCGAGGCGCCGGGCTGTGCGGTTCCTCACCTGGGCCGCTGGAAACGGGAACCCAATTTGCTCATTAACCTCTGTCAGCCTTGGCGCTCCGCTTCTGGACGGCGGAAGCAGGGCCTCCTTGGGCCGGGCTGATGAACACTGGGTCCTCTCCGCCACCCCACCCCCGGTGACTCAGTGGCGTGGGCTCTGGCTGAAAATGGCCCCTCCAGAAGGGCTTTGTGCTGAGCCCTCCCAGTGCGGCTGGACTCGGGGCCAGCCGAGTATCCTACCGTCCTCTGTGGTCTGTTTCCTGCCCCACCCTTCCCCTAGACAGCAAGACTCAGCCTGTGGGCTCCTTCTGCCCACAGGGTGCTGGCACACAGCAGGTGCTCAATGGATGCGTGACAGTCTCCACCCCTGCCTGGCTCTGCGACCCTGGGAGAGCTCTTTCTCCGTGTTGTACCTCAGTTTCCCCATTTGAACTGAGGTAGGGCTGGTGCTGACAGCGGGTTAGAGAGCGCCGTCTGCCAGCAGCGTGCCTTCTGCTGGTGAGCCCGGTGTGGCAGTCGGCCGCTTCCTCCGGGAAGCAGAGCCAGGTTTCTGCAGCGAGGCAGGACCTCGTACGTGTGTGGATCCCGGGGCTTGATGAGGACCGCTCGACATGGTCGAGGGGTGATTGTGGCGCCTGGGACAGCGAGCCCAGGGCCAGTTACGTGCCTGTGGGCAGGGGAGACGCACCTGCCCTGCACAGGCTGAAACTGCTGCTCCCTTTGGTGGAACTGCACTTGTTCTGGAGAGAGAAGTCTTGAGCGAGGAGACTCACGGACTCCGCCCACCTGCTTGATGGACACCGTTTAGTAGGCTGTTCCCTTGTGTGCTCCAGCAGCCCCGCCCATTTTAGCATGTTTTCAGCACCCTGCAAAGAAACCAGTTCCCCCAACACGTTCTGGCCACTGACAGCCACAGCTGTGTCTCTCGTCATTCAGCTTTGCCCATTGTGGACAGTTGGTATCCAGCTGTCCCTGCGCACCTGCGTGCCCCAGGGGGACTGAGGTCTGGCCGTGTTCCGGCTCAGTACAGAATGGCACGGTATTTGCATGTGAACCTGTGCCTGTCTTCCCACAGACTTTACGCCGTGTCCGGGCTGCATGCAACCCTTCACACAACACAAATGCTATGTAAATGGGTACTGCCTGGTATTGCTTTGGTAACAACGACAAAGAAATGGCCTGTGCTTGGTCAGCACAGAGGCAAACAAGGTAGGCCTGTGGACACGGCACGCGCGCTGCCGTGGGCTGAATGCGCAGGTGCAGACCAGGCCAGCCCCCAGCAGAACCAGACAGCACCTGGCCTTTGTGTCGGCCAAGGTCCATCACCCTCTTCCCAGTCGGCATCACAGCTCCGTTCTCTTGCGTTGCTGACCGTGTGTAGGGCACCTTGTTTATCTGTTCATCCGCTGCTGGCTCAGGTGTGCGGCAAAAATAGGACCCTAGCTTTTCCTCCCCCAAGTGCCCTTCTGCTTGGACCCCCAGAAAGCCGGAAGCCCTCCAGAGACAGGGGCAGCCCCTGGGTGTAAAGCCTGGGGCCTCTCCACAGCTCTCCAAACGCTCCAGCCACCCACCTCCGCCAGGAGACGCGCGCGTGTTTGTGGAAAGCAGTGTGGACAGGCATGAGAGCGTGCTGTGGACACCTGGTCCCTCACCCAGTGGCTGAGCCGCCTGCTCCCCCGGGCAGGGGCCTGCAGCCACTCACGAGAGACCACCCTTGCCTTGCAGTCATCAAGAGCCCGCCCGGCTGGGAGGTGGGCGTCTACGCCGCGGGGGCCCTGGCCCTGCTGGGAATCGCGGCCGTGAGCCTGTGGCGGCTCTGGACGTCCGGCAGCTTTCCCAGCCCCTCGCCGTTCCCCAACTATGACTACCGCTACCTGCAGCAGAAGTACGGCGAGGCCTCCGCAGAGGCCAGGCGCAAGGTGAGGCTGCTGCTCCCGCAGGCGCACGCCCCCTGCTGGGCGCCCTCCGCATCGGCCTCAGTTCCCGCCCCCGCCCCACTCACCCTCTCCCGGCCCGTGCTAGGAGGCCGGGAAGAGCTTCAGAACCGGCTTGGGTGGGGGCCGGTGTTCCGTGTCTCACCAGAGTGCCTGGGTTCCATGCCTGTCTCTGCTCCTCCTAACACAGACCCCCCCCGGGGGTGGGGGGCAGCAGGTGCTGGATGGAGTGCTTGAGTTACTTCCCCCCGCCCACGTGGGAGCCTGGATGGGGTCCCTGGCTCCTAGCTTCCACCTGGCCCAGCCCTGAGTGATTCAGCCATTTGGGGAGTGAACCAGCAGGTGGAAGACCTCTCTCTCTCTCTCTCTCTCTCTCTCTCTGTATGTGTGTGTGTGTCCCTGTGCAAATAAATAACTCTAAGAAACAAAAGCAAAACCCCATCCGTTCAGGGCTTCCCCAGACCTGCTGCCGGCTGGAGCCGCCACTGGCCGTGCAGTGGGCACTTGGCACGTGACCAGTGTCTGCCGCTGGGACCTCAGGCTCGGCAGGGGTGCCCTGTCCCGGGGTGCCAGCCCCACTAGGGGTTCTCGCTGTCGCCAGGTAGCACTGGGCAGCGCGCAGAGTCCAGTGAGCACAGCCAGGATCTGTTAGCAGATGAGCGCCCACCTGCTGCCTCGTCCACGGCGTCAGGGGCTGCCATGCACGCTCGCACGCGCCTGGGGACCGGAGAACCCGGCACAGCTTTTCCAGGAGCATTGTGGCAACGCAGGCGAAAACCTTTGGAAGGACTGTGTCTTCCCAGGCAGGGCGCTACTTGCACTTGGTTGTGTGCATTTGTGAAAATTAGAAACGCATCCGTGCCCAGCTGTAGGGGACAGGAAAACAGGAAACGGAGGAGAGGGCGGTGACGACACGGGAACGGCTTCTGCCACACAGGCAAAGCTCGCTTAGGGAAAAGAAAAATCCGAATATCTGGGCAGGTGTTATGCAATGTGGAAGCTTTCTTGTGTTGGAAACTTTTTTTAAAAAAGATTTATTTATTTGAAGGGCAGAGAGAGAGAGACAGAGATCTTCCATCCACTGGTTCACTCCCCAAATGCGCACAACTGCCGGGGCTGGGCCAGGCTGACGCCAGGAGCCCAGAATTCCACCTGGGTTTCCCGTGTCTGTGGCAGGAACCCAAGCACTTGGGCCACTGTCTGCTGCCTCCCAAGTGCATTGGCAGGAAGCTGGATTGGAAGTGGCACTCCAGTGTGGAATGAGGGCGTCTCCAGGGGGGGTCCGACCCACCGTGCCCCAGCGCCCACCCCAGGAGACACTTAGTAAACTTCCTTTGGGGCTGTGAGGTCATCTGTTGAGGGGCTGTCCCCTAGTTCCTGTCCCCAGGCCCCTGCTGCTGGGGTCCTTCCTTGCTAACTAGCTCACTTCTCTACGTATGCAATCGTGTCCTTATAAATAATTATCTTAAGAAAAGCTTTCCTTCCATCCTGGTTGACAAACAATACTGTTCAATAAGAACCTCCCCGACCGTCCCAGCTCACAGGGGCTACCAAGGAATCTCCAACTCTGCGGCAAAGCCCGCAGTCTCGCGCGCTCACGGCTCTGGACGAGAGTGTGGAGACGCCTCTGCCGTCTCCCTCCGACCTTGCCCGAGGCCCTCGTGATATCCCGTGTCCCTTTCGCAGAGGATATCCGCCTGGAACGGCCAGCGGCCCAGCACGCGGGGACCGCCCAGCCGCAAGGGCAGCCTGAGCCTGGAGGACACCTTGGAGAGCGTGAGCGAGCTGGGGCCCCTGGAGCTAATGGGGCGCGAGCTGGACCTGGCGCCCTACGGGCCACTGCGCAAGTCCCAGTCGGCCGACTCCCTCAACTCCATCTCCTCTGTGAGCAACACGTTCGGGCAGGACTTCACCCTGGGCCAGGTGGAGGTGAGCATGGACTACGCCGCCGCGTCCCACACCCTCCACGTGGCCGTGCTGCAGGGCAGGGACCTGCTGGAGCGCGAGGAAGCCAGCTTCGAGTCCTGCTTCATGCGCGTGAGCCTGCTGCCGGACGAGCAGATCGTGGGCATCTCCCGGGTGAGTGGGGCCCCCTGCGGGGCCGCGCGAGGCCGGAGCTGCGGGCACCAACCTGGGGGGGGCTCGCCTGAGGGCTCCTGCTGTGTGCCCCGGGCTGCACTGGCGGAAACCACACCCCCGCCCCTGTGTCCCTGTGTCAGCGCAGGGTCCTGCTGGGGAGCGAGGACAGCTGGCTCATTAGGGGACCTCGGTTACGGGGCTGTGATGGTGGTGCGGGTGTGGCTTTGGCAACCTCGCGAGTGCTGAGGCCCCACTGGGGGAGAGAAGCAAGTCGGAGTCCACCTCAGTGGGAGCCGCGTCCTTTGGCCAAGGGACGCGGTCGGACACTGCAGGGGAGGAGCTAGGAGAAGGACCCACCTTCCTCTGGTGCCCCACCCTCTGGGGATGACGGGACTGGGCACCTGGAGCCGAGAGCAGAGTGGGGGCCCCCACGAGAAGTGGTGGGCAGAAGGACCCTGGAGCCGGCCTGCCAGGGTTCGAATCCCAGCCCCAGCACTTCCTACCAGTGTGACCTCGGGTGAGTTGCCGAAGCGTGCTCTAACAGTGTCCAAGTGGACATCAGAATCATCGAGGAAGGGGCGGCTTCATACACATAAAGTCTGTAGCCCAGGGCTCTCAAGGCCATGGTCAGGGCCCCCTGGGGGACTCCGGGAGGTCCAGGACGCATCCTTCAAGGAGGGACACTGGCTGAGAGCAGCCGCCACGGCCTGTTCTGTGCCGGGAGCCCCGTGCGTCCAGGATTCGCTCACGCTCCCCACTGAGGCCAGCCGGATGGAGGGTGCTCGGAGAGAGCCCTCTGCCCGGGTGCCCATGAAGCCCCGTGCTCAGAGAGGGGCGGTCACAGGCCAGTGTGGCCAGAGCACGGCGAGATGGGGCACGTCAGGAGAGGGGCGAGGAGCCCTCCAAGAGTCTTCGTGGGGGATTGTGTGGGGAACAGGGCTCCCCGGGAGCACTGTAAGAGGAGTCTTCCCGGACCCCCCACCCCAGGCAGTGACAGAAGTGTGGTTCAGGGCAGCTGGGGGCGCTGCTCCGAGCCTCACAGCCCGAGCCACTCCTACCAGCCAGACCCCAGCTTCGGGCCAGGCGCCGGGGATGAGCACCCCTCTCTCAATACCACCGGGTAGCGGTTAAGGCAGCCGACACGGAAAAGGAGCAGTGCCGTGGGGGCACCTCCCCAGGGCCAATGGCTCCCAGAGGCAGGGCTGGGCTTTGAAATGGAGTCTTCCCACTTGCCTGCTCATTCTACCTACCCAGCCATTCATACACCTGCCCACATGCTCATCCATTTAACCACACACCCATCCACCTGCCCACACACCAACCCATCCATCTACCCACATGCCCACCACCTGCCTCTACACCCATCTACCTGTCCACGCCTCCCCCACATCCATCAACACACCTGTTCACCTGCCCACACACCTGTCCACCTGCCCACATCCCCCCACACGCATCCACCTGCCCCCACACTCACCCACCTGTCCACACCCGCCCCATCTGCTGGCCCTGACGCCTCTCCCCGGCGCTGCCCCCGCAGCTCCAGCGGAACGCCTACTCCATCTTCTTCGACGAGAAGTTCTCGGTGCCGCTGGAGCCCGCCGCCCTGGAGGAGAAGAGCCTGCGGTTCTCCGTGTTCGGCATTGACGAGGACGAGCGCAACGTGAGCACGGGCGTGGTGGAGCTGAAGCTGTCCGTGCTGGACCTCCCGCTGCAGCCCTTCAGCGGCTGGCTGTACCTGCAGGACCAGAACAAGGTGAGCCCGGCCCCCGCCCCCGAGGGGAGCACACGCAGCGGGGACAGCAGCCTGAACCCCGCCAGCATTAGGCGAGCAGAGCAGCCCCAAGCCGCCTCCTAGGAGACCGATGGCTGTGTGCAGCGACTTCACACATCCTGACCGCTGTCTCCAGCGCGCCTGCTGCTCCTAGTGCAAACCTCCAGAGGCTTTCAGTCCAGGCCAAGGCCAAGTTCAAGGTTCCCTCTCAAGGGGTAGCAGTGCGGGGGGAACCTCGACGATCTGCCTCCATCACGTCTGGACCTGCCTGTTCTGTTTCCCGTGGCCTGGAGAGAGGCACTGAGACGCATTTGACTGCTACGTCGGCCTGGCGGCCCCTGGCCCTCCTTGCAAGAAGGGTACCGTGGCGGGAGGAGTGGGTTTCCTCCATGCAGCGGGGGGAGGGGCTCTGGTGCCCTCTCAGCCCTGCCGGCCCGGGGCCCCAGAGCTGCAGTTTCAGCTCCTGGCCTTCCTGGACCCCTCAAGTCCTGGCAGCGGGGAGAAGCCCTCTGAGCCGCCGCTCTGTCCCCCAGGTCCCTGACGCTGTGGGGGAGATCCTTCTGTCCCTCAGCTACCTCCCCACGGCCGAACGGCTCACTGTAGTCGTGGTAAAGGCCAAGAACCTCGTCTGGACCAACGACAAGACCACAGCGGGTAAGGCCCTGAGCCGTGCGAGGCGGAGCAGCCAGGGCGGGGCCTGCGTGGAAGATCCATCCCCCTCTCGGAGCATGGAGACCCCAAGGGTGGCAGGGAGTCCCAGTGAGGGTACAGTGAGTGCAGGGGTGGCGGCAAGCTGGGGAGGGGGGCTGAACAGGGAGCAGCCCTGAGGGCCACAGGCACCGGGCAGGGAACCAAGGTAGGCACCTGCTTCCCAGAACCGGAACTTCCGATGGAGGACTAGGGCCACCAGGTTGGGGTGGGCGCCACGTGGGACCGATGACAGAGGGGACCTCGGGCCCAGGCAGGTACAGCCAGGACGCCTGGTGGGCGATGGGCGTGGCCAGGCACTGACCTGGTATTTCAGAGCCACACACCACTGAGTCAGGCCCTGGCGCGCAGGCGGGTGCCGGTGACTCAGGCTGTGCCGTTTATAGAATGGAAGAGGCGGGGCTGCCGAGCCCCCCAGAGTCTTGTGGGAGGGGAGCACGCAGGCTGTGAGGCGGCTGCGTCCAAGGCCTGGCCCTCCCCCAATGGCACGTGAGCCTTGGTTTTCTCATCTGGGACGTGGGAACGCTAACACAGGCCCAATGGCAGAGTTGCAGGAGATGCTGGCAAGAGCGGGTGGAGAGGGGCGCCCAGTGGGGCGGGCAGGGCTGTGCCCAGCGAGCCTGGCCCTCAGCCCTCCCTCCACCTGTCCGTAGACCCCTTCGTCAAAGTGTACCTGCTGCAGGATGGGAGGAAGATGAGCAAAAAGAAGACGGCGGTGAAGAGGGACGACCCCAACCCCGTGTTCAACGAAGCCATGATCTTCTCTGTGCCGGCCCTGCTGCTCCAGGTGAGGCACGGGAATCCACACGCCCCCTCCCATGGGGCAGCAGTTACCCAGCAGCCCCGGGGGCGGGCCAGCCCTCTGGTGGGTGCTGGGGACGGGGGAGCCGCGTTCTTGGTGCTCGGCGAGCATAGGTGCTCGTCGGCAGCGAGGGACCACAGAGGCCTGGGGAGGGGTGCGGCCCAGTCACCCAGGGCTCCAGAGCCCCAGCCCTGGGTGCCTGCTGAGCTCCCGTCTGCCCCCAGGGAGACCCCCTCCCAGCTGGGACATCACAGGCCGCGGCTGGGGGGCAGTGCACTGCATGCACCCTAGCGGCCCTGCTTACATACCTCAGAGGACGGGGATCTCACCACCTCCCTCCATCCTGTGGCACTCCTGACAGGGAGGAAGTCCCTTTATGCCTTGAGCCGTC